ACTCCGTTTCCCCAAGTTCCAGCTGAAACTCCTCTTGTCTCCACCTGCTACCCACCTCTGAGCACCGTCCCTTGGTTCCACCCCTACCCACCTCTGAGCACCGTCCCTTGGTTCCACCCCTACCCACCTCTGAGCACCGTCCCTTGGTTCCACCCCTACCCACCTCTGACAGCACCGTCCCTTGGTTCCACCCCTACCCACCTCTGAGCACCGTCCCTTGGTTCCACCCCCTACCCACCTCCCACCACCTCTCCTTTTAGAGAATACAGAACCAAGTATGATTTTGTACCTCCCAGAAAAATAGATCTCCCACAACGGTAGACCCCCTCAGCAACAATTAACCCCCTCAACAAAAAAATACCACCTCAGCAACAATAAATCCACCCCAGAACTCCCCCCCCCAGCAGCAACAACAGGTCCTAGCAGTCATCAACAATAGAGCTCTCACTCAGCAGTTCATCCCTCCCAGCAACATTATACCCCCCAGAAAAATAGATCCCCCATAACAGTAGACCCCCCTCAGCAACAATAACCCCCTCAACAAAATACCACCTCAGCAACAATAAATCCACCCCAGAAAAAAAAACACCCCCCCAGCAGCAACAACAGGTCCTAGCAGTCATCATCAATAGAGCTCTCACTCAGCAGTTCATCCCTCCCAGCAACATTATACCCCCAGAAAAATAGATCCCCCATAACAGTAGACCCCCTCAGCAACAATAACCCCCCTCAACAAAATACCATCTCAGCAATAAAAAAAACAACCCCAGAACTCCCCCCCCAGCAGCAACAACAACAGGTCCTAGCAGTCATCATTTATAGAGCTCTCACTCAGCAGTTCATCCCTCCCAGTAACATTATACCCCCCAGAAAAGTAGATCCCCCATAACAGTAGACCCCCTCAGCAACAATAAACCCCCTCAACAAAACACCACCTCAGCAACAATAAATCCACCCCAGAACCCCCCCAGCAGCAACAACAGGTCCTAGCAGTCATCAATAGAGCTGAGATACAGTACATAACGTACAAACAAAAGATATTTGTGTGCCCCGGTCTACGGCTCGCCGCCCTTGTTTTCCTGGCTGGACAGGCGGAAGGGTGTTCTCTATAATGTATTCTACCAACAGTGTGATTGTCGTGAGGAATTATTAATTTGTTGATGTTATTTCTTCCTAATGCTGCGTGCGGCGGGAGAATGACTCATTGTCACCGGGTGATGAGCGAGCCTCTCCTATTGGTGACATTTCAGCTCTTGCCCTCTCGCTCTAATTTGCTCTCACTTACAGTAGACAGCTGTCAATATATCTAATATGGTTTAGTTTACCGCAGAAGCGCCGCTGACACTCCCGGCTTAATTGCAGACAGTGAGTGATTGTAATGGGGGCAGCATTTAACAATGCAAAATAAGCCAATGTATTCAAATACCGCCATGAACTGCGGACCAGAAAGTCATACATAATATTTAAAGGGGACTGGACCAGGGTACAGTACAAGGCAGGATGGGAGGTAATGTAAGGGAATTGGGGTTTTAGGATAAAAAAAAGCTACATATGTAACTATTGTCATCATAATGATCTATCTATCTATCCATCCGTCCGTCCATCCGTCCATCTATCTATCATCTATCTATCTATCTATCTATCTATCTATCTATCCATCCGTCCATCTATCTATCTATCTATCTATTTATCCATCCGTCCGTCCATCCGTCCATCTATCATCTATCTATCCGTCCATCTATCATCTATCTATCTATCTGTCCGTCCGTCCGTCTATCTATCTATCTATCTATCTATCTATCCATCCGTCCATCTATCATCTATCTATCTATCTATCTATCTATCTATCTATCCGTCCGTCCATCTATCATCTATCTGTCCGTCTATCTATCTATCTATCTATCTATCTATCTATCTATCTATCTATCTATCTATCATCTATCTATCTATATCTATCTATCCATCCGTCCATCTATCATCTATCTGTCCGTCTATCTATCTATCTATCTATCTATCTATCTATCTATCCATCCATCCATCTATCCGTCCGTCCATCTATCATCTATCTATCTATCTATCTATCTATCTATCTATCTATCTATCTATCCATCCATTTCAACTCTCTCCGTTGTTCTCTCCCCCTCTAATACATGTACTGCCCTGCCCTGGGATAAATAAATTTAGTTTTTGCCTCTACTGTACTCAGATGAGCAGCAATTTATTTTTTTCAGGTCTATCCCTAAGCCTGGAGGTTGATTGTTCCTGCCTGCCTTTGGAAGAGGATTCCAGAAATAGAGTAGGAGGGTTAGCCACTGGGTTATGAATATTTATCTGACCTCAGCCAATCCCAAAGGGTATGGCTGGGGAGAGGATAAATATTTGGGAGGAACTGATCAGAACTCTTTCTCCTGGGGTCTCTGTCCTTGGGGGGCAGCCTGTGTTACTGAAGAGCTGTTGCTGTTAGGCCTCGGCTTGGCTGAGGGTATGAAGGAGCCTGCATTTAATAACTTGCTGGAGGACACTACCATAGGAAGCTGGTCTGTATAAAGGGATACTTCACTGAAGAATGTCACAAGGAAACAAGAAGCTGAACTGGAGAGGGACCCTTTTCACTAAAGAGTGTCCCAGGGAAGCTGGTCGGGGAGTTGTTGTCTCTGGATATTGTGAGTAGGGCTTTTGCCAAGAGCTACAAGGGTCCCTGTGCTTGAAGGGTCAGATGCCAGAGGTTGCTCTTAAAGGGTCTCAGATTAGCTGGCTGTCTCTTCCACTCCCAACATTACTTAAGGTTCCTACTGAAGGACCTTTCTTGAGGATCTATCCTAGCTACCTTCTATGGATCTATAGATTCAGAGATCTCTGCTCTTCTCCTCTAATTATCTATCTGTCTGTCTGTCTGTCTGTCTGTCTGTCTGTCTGTCTGTCTGTCTATCTATCTATCTATCTATCTATCTATCTATCTATCTATCTATCTATCTATCATACAGTTCCTTCCATTCATTTTACAAAATTATCATAACCCCCCAGGAAGGAGGACAGGACCCAAGTTACAATGAGAGGTGCACAACCATTTTCCTTTGTTGCTTCCTACTCCGTATCCCTCTGTACACGTAAAAAGTCTGTAAGAGTGAAATTAACTTGGCCTCTTTGCAGACTCTTGAAGTATCGCGGTATGAGAAATGCCGGAGCTGTGCTTGGCCGCCAAGGAGGTGCTTTTTCTCCAGCCGTCTCCATTTATCTCCTTCTTGCTGATGAACGCTCGCTGAGACTCAATTTTCCAGGCGTCTACACTTCCCCTGTTGATAATTGAAGCGCTCACACTAAAGTATAACACAACAAGACAGACAGTGGATGCTATTTACAAAGCTGATTATTTTGCTGCCAGCCTTAAAATATAATATTTACCAGGACGAATGAAAAAAAAAACCTTAAAGAGGAACCCTGGTCCAATCCAAAGGGCTACTGACGTTTGTAACAGTTGAGCTGTTTCGATAGATAAATATATAACCTGAAAATCCATTCTCGGTTTCTGACGTTTGGAAGCTACTAATATGTAAATACATAATATGCAAATGAGTTGAACTCCTAAATAAATTCAGCAAACAGGGAAGGAGTACATATGGGACCTTTCAAGTACGAATAAAGGTCACTGCAACCCGTTTAAACCCAATTTCAATTATTTTTTCCAATATGGAATTCCAAATTTTGCATTTTATTTTCCAATTAAAAAAAAAAAACCACATACTCCGATGATACTCTTTGAACATTGTATTCCATAATATCTACACGTCTAACCCACCATATGTCCTCATAGAGACAAGAATCAAAAATCAAATTCTTAGCCCTAACCACCAGGGATTGTGGATCCAGGGAATATCCAATTGCTTTAGGGGATTAGGAATGCATAGCCATTGCCTTGCACGTTGGCACTTTTTATTTATTTCTTATCCACGTGTCTGTCACTTTCACTTTGTTTTGTCTGTCAGGATTCACTCTGGCTTGTTGGGTGTGGTCTTTGGTCATACATGAAGTCTAGGAGAGGCTGTCAGGTCCTTCCTCCCCTGCCATGGGGGTGCGGGGGGAAGTCTATCTTCAGGAAAGAATCCCACCCAGTACTCGTTAGTCAGTTTTGGCAGATCATGAGGAGTGGGGTCCTCTGGGCCTTCTGGTTAGGTGAACCATGCCTTTTCCCTGTTAGGAGTTTTGCACCCTGGGAAGGGGGGGGGGGGTCAGGGAGGGGTCCATTCGACACACCCTTGTGCACTTTTTTTGAGTGTTTGTTCATATACACTTTTTTTGTTCACTTTGTAACAGTGTTTTTCCCTGTTAGATATATTGGACCAAGATTTATGAAGGTTCCTCTGAATCAACTGTGGGTATAGGGTTCTACATGTGAAGGTGTTCCATTGGTGGAAACCCAGTGGACTTGTGTCATTTTTTTCAACCTATGTTATACATTTACATCAGTATCCTCATGTGAAGCATTGTCTGGTGATACCTGATCGGAAGACTTTATACCTTCTACGCCAACCATTCTCAACCAGCGGTTGCTAGGGATGTTTTGAGCTGTGTTTGATTGATCTCCCATCTTATGGTGCCTGTATGTTTCTAGGTCCAACGCCACTGTACAAAACCAGTGGTATGACACCAATAACACATAGCTGCCTCTAAAAATGTCAGTCTTCCAACCAATGTAAGGAGCATTCCTCCTAATGGACAACATGTCAGAGCATTATTTTCAATGACCCCCCAGTGTAAGGGGCATTCTTCTCACTGACCCCCAATGTAAGGAACATTCTTCCCACTGATCACCAATGTAAGGAGCATTCTTCTCACTGATCACCAATGTAAGGGACATTCTTCCCACTGACCACCAATGTAAGGAACATTCTTCCCACTGGTCACCAATGTAAGGGACATTCTTCCCACTGACCACCAATGTAAGGAACATTCTTCCCACTGGTCACCAATGTAAGGGACATTCTTCCCACTGACCACCAATGTAAGGGACATTCTTCCCACTGACCACCAATGTAAAGAACATTCTTCCCACTGACTCCCAATGTAAGGAGCATTCTTCCCACTGACCCCCAATGTAAGGAACATTCTTCCCACTGACCTCCAATGTAAGGAACATTCTTGCCACTGACCCCCAATGTAAGGAACATTCTTCCCACTGACCCCCAATGTAAGGAACATTCTTCACACTGACCTCCAATGTAAGGAGCATTCTTCCCACTGATCCCCAATGTAATGATCATTCTTCCCACTGACCCCCAATGTAGGGAACATTCTTCCCACTGACCACCAATGTAAGGAACATTCTTGCCACTGACCCCCAATGTAAGGAACATTCTTCCCACTGACCCCCAATGTAAGGAGCATTATTCCCACTGACCCCCAATGTAAGGAGCATTCTTCCCACTGATCCCCAATGTAATGATCATTCTTCCCACTGACCCCCAATGTAGGGAAACATTCTTCCCACTGACCCCCAATGTAAGGGACAATCTTCCCACTGACCCCCAATGTAAGGAACATTCTTCCCACTGACCACTAATGTAAGGAACATTCTCCCCTCTGACCCCTGATGTATGGGTTATGCTCCCCACTGACCACCAATGTACAGAGCATTCTTCCCAATGGCCAACAATGTAAGAAGCATTCTTACCACTGATCCCCAATGTAAGGAACATTCTTCTCTCTGACCCCCCCCCCCCCAATGATCTAACTTTAGAAATTATTTCAAGGGATCCTTTTGGGTTAAAAGTTTGAAAAAGGATTTCCTACATGTTTCTCAGCTCAATGATCCACTTCATCAGAAGAACAAAGAAGGTATATGCAGCATAGGATCAACAGAAAATCAAAATTTAAGATCTTCTGTCACCATTCACGTGGACCATAGGGGGCACTGGGGGGCACCAGGAGGCACTGGTTAGATCAGGGGTGCTCAACCTTTTGAAGAGCGAGGGTCACTTAAATGATGTGATAACCAGTCACAGGCCACAATGAATTGGTTCAGAATTTCAATTTTTTAAATTTTGAATAGCATAATAAAGATTTTCCTCCTGCAGGCGCTGAATGCTAGTGAGAGGAAGAGGAGGAGAAATCCGCTTCCAGCGATTGCAGGAGGAAAATAGAGAGGATTGGTTCCTGTATATGCCAGCCCCCACTGCCCCAACTGTCCAATTGTAAAAACATAATGTAACAGGGAAGCCATGGGGGCCCCTTGGTGCATGGGGTGGGTCGCCATTGCGATCCCTGATGCTACACCAGTGGATGGAGGTATGGTAAATACAAGTCTCAACTATGGGGCTTTACAACCCCCCAAACTGCAAATGTAAATGAGCCCTTATTGTCCTGAGCCCCCTATAAGGCTGCTTTCACACTGGTGCACTGCGGTTCACCCACACTGCAGGTGCAGCGCAGTGCACCAGTAGCTTTCCTGTAGGTCAACTGTGCTTTTGCCATAGACTTCTATTATATCTTGCGGGTGTGGTGCGCTTTCTGAAAAAAATCAAGCCGGCAAGCACAGATCAAGATCAATGAGTTGCCGACCCCAGACATGCACTTCCCTGTTTTTGAGGACCACATCAGAAGGCTCTGAGGGTCACATTTTGACCCCCCTGGGTTAAATCAATGATCTGAGATTTTTTTTTTCTTTATCTATAGAAAAAATACTTTTGTTTAGTGAATCTATATTAACTTCTTGCCAACCACCCTGTGTGTATAAAGCCATTTATAACTCTGCCTCAAATTACATCACCGATCTCTAAATATCACCCAAACCGTCCTCTCCGCTCCTCGCAAAAACCTCCTTCGCTCTAGTTCCCTTGTCTCCTCCTGCCATGCTCGTCTCCAGGACTTCTCCAGAGCTTCCCCAATCCTCTGGAACTCTCTACCCCAATTTATCAGACTATTGCCTACTCTGCTCACTTTTAGGCGATCTCTGAAAACCTATCTCTTCAGGGAAACCTATCCTGCCCTCAGCTAATACTGGAATCTTCTACTCTTTCCAACCAGTCCATCCCCCACAGTTACTACCTTTTGTACCACTAGCCCCTCCCTCTTAGATTGTAAGCTCCCAGGATCAGATCCCTCCTATCCCTCTTGTATTGAACTGTATTGTTGCTGTATTGTCTCCCGCTATATTATAAAGTCCTGAGCAAACTGTTGACGCAATATAAAATCCTGTATAATAATAATAATATATATGCAGCAGCAGGGACGGTTGGCACACTCCCAGTACACTGACCGAGCTGTCACTGACAGCTCCTGATAAACTATGAAGAGTGTGTGGGAGGAGCTTCTGATCATGTGACTGCTGGGACAGCAAATTTCATTGGTCACATAATCGGAAACTCCGCCTCCCTTCATTCAGAACCGCTCAAATGGCCAGCGGGAAGTAATAAAAAGCCATTTACACTGATGTATGTGCATGGAGGTGTGTGTAGCATTAAGCGTGCTTTGTCATTTGTCAAGGGACATTTCCTTTGTGTGTTGGCTTGCGTATTGTTTACTTTCAGGTCCAGAAAACAACAAGGATACTAGCAACCCTTGTAATATAACAAGCAGGGTGTTTTAGCTGAAATGCTAGGATGGAAATTAGGGATGCTTAGCAGGCAGTAAAAAAAATGTCATTGGGATTGAAAAAGAAAAAAAATATTAATTGCCCAGTAAAAGTGAATAAAAAAGTAAAAGTGAACTAAAAAAGCAGTTTTTGGCTGCAACATTCACCATGTATCCGGCGCTATCTCCTGCAGAAATCCCTCCTGCCACTAGATGGAGCTCCTCTAGTGCAAGTGTCATTTGAGCCACTTCCTGTGAGCCTAGACTATCCTGGACATGCCCCTGGGTTTCACTTTTTAAAGTAAAACTCCATGATCACCATGTATAACACATAAGGGGGGATATGATCACCATGTATAATACATAAGGGGGGATATGATTAGATGTATAATAACATAAGGGGGGATATGATCTCCATGTATAACACATAAGGGGGGATATGATCACCATGTATAATACATAAGGGGGATATGATCACCATGTATAATACATAAGGGGGGATATGATCTCCATGTATAATACATAAGGGGGGATATGATCACCATGTATATATACATAAGGGGGATATGATCTCCATGTATAATACATAAGGGGGGATATGATCTCCATGTATAATACATAAGGGGGGGATATGATCACCATGTATAATACATAAGGGGGATATGATCACCATGTATAACACATAGGGGGGATATGATTAGATGTATAATACATAAGGGGGGATATGATTAGATGTATACTACATAAGGGGGGATATGATTAGATGCATAATACATAAGGGGGGATATGATCTCCATGTATAATACATAAGGGGGGGATATGATCTCCATGTATAATACATAAGGGGGGGATATGATCTCCATGTATAATACATAAAGGGGATATGATCTCCATGTATAATACATAAGGGGGGATATGATCACCATGTATAATACATAAGGGGGATATGATCTCCATGTATAATACATAAGGGGGGGGATATTGATCTCCATGTATAATACATAAGGGGGGATATGATCTCCATGTATAATATATAAAGGGGGGGGTATGATCTCCATGTATAATATATAAGGGGGGGATATGATCTCCATGTATAATACATAAGGGGGATATGATCTCCATGTATAATACATAAGGGGGATATGATCTCCATGTATAATACATAAGGGGGGATATGATCTCCATGTATAATACATAAGGAGGAATATGATCTTCATGTATAAAATACATAAGGGGGGGTATGATCTCCATGTATAATACATAAGGGGGGGTATGATCTCCATGTATAATACATATAAGGGGGGGTATGATCTCCCATGTATAATATAAAGGGGGGGGTATGATCTCCATGTATAATACATAAGGGGGATATGATCTCCATGTATAATACATAAGGGGGGATATGATCTCCATGTATAATACATAAGGGGGGATATGATCTCCATGTATAATACATAGGTGGGATATGATCTCCATGTATAATACATAAGGGGGGATATGATCTCCATGTATAATACATAAGGGGGGGATATGATCTCCATGTATAATACATAAGGGGGGGAATATTATCTCCATGTATAATACATAAGGGGGGATATGATCTCCATGTATAATACAATAAGGGGGGATATGATCACCATGTATAATACATAAGGGGGGGATATGATCTCCATGTATAATACATAAGGGGGGATATGATCACCATGTATAATACATAAGGGGGGATATGATCACCATGTATAATACATAAGGGGGATATGATCTCCATGTATAATACATAAGGGGGGATATGATTCTCCATGTATAATACATAAGGGGGGATATGATCTCCATGTATAATACATAAGGGGGATATGATCTCCATGTATAATACATAAGGGGGGATATGATCTCCATGTATAATACATAAGGGGGATGTGATCACCATGTATAATACATAAGGGGGGATATGATCTCCATGTATAATACATAAGGGGGGATATGATCACCATGTATAATACATAAGGGAGGGATATGATCACCATGTATAATACATAAGGGGGATATGATCTCCATGTATAATACATAAGGGGGGATATGATCTCCATGTATAATACATGGGGGGGGATATGATCTCCATGTATAATACATAAGGGGGATATGATCTCAATGTATAATACATAGGCGGGGGGATATGATCTCCATGTATAATACATAAGGGGGATATGATCTCCATGTATAATACATAAGGGGGGATATGATCTCATGTATATTACATAAGGGGGGATATGATCTCCATGTATAATACATAAGGGGGATATGATCACCATGTATAATACATAAGGGGGGATATGATCTCCATGTATAATACATAAGGGGGGGATATGATCACCATGTATAATACATAAGGGGGGATATGATCTCCATGTATAATACATAAGGGGGGGATATGATCTCCATGTATAATACATAAGGGGGGATATGATCTCATGTTATAATACATAAGGGGGGGTATGATCTCATGTATATTACATAAGGGGGGATATGATCTCCATGTATAATACATAAGGGGGGATATGATCACCATGTATAATACATAAGGGGGGATATGATCTCCATGTATAATACATAAGGGGGGGATATGATCACCATGTATAATACATAAGGGGGGATGATCTTCCATGTATAATACATAAGGGGGGGATATGATCTCCATGTATAATACATAAGGGGGGGATATGATCTCCAAAGGTATAATACATAAGGGGGGATATGATCTTCCATGTATAATACATAAGGGGGGATATGATCACCATGTATAATACATAAGGGGGGATATGATCTCCATGTATAATACATAAGGGGGGGATATGATCTCCATGTATAATACATAAGGGGGGGGATATGATCTCCATGTATAATACATTAAGGGGGGGATATGATCTCCATGTATATACATAAGGGGGGATATGATCTCCATGTATAATACATAAGGGGGGGATATGTATAATACATAAGGGGGGATATATCTCCAATTATACATAAGGGGGGATATGATCTCCATGTATAATACATAAGGGGGGGGGATATGATCTCCATGTATAATACATAAGGGGGGATATGATCTCCATGTATAATACATAAGGGG